GAATCAAGGAACATCAGAGGCTATGCAGAAAAATGGATAGCGAAAAATCAGAACTAGCTGAACACAACGCACTGATTGGACACAAGATCAATTGGAAGGCAACATAAAGGAAAGCTCACTACGGTGACAACACAATGAAGCTGAAGATTGGGGAGGCCATTGACATCCTTGGGGAGACAAATCAAATAAACAGGAGATTGGAGGAAGGTAGAGTTAGTGATAGCTTTGCCTACTGCTTAAGCAAAATCCGGGAAAACAATAAAGCAAGACCAGCGAAAAGGAGACGTCTGGACCAAGGATCTGCCGCTAACCGGAGGAAAAGGGATTGCGATGACGAAAGTGGAGGACAGAGGTATTCGGCAATTAGGCGAAGACGTTGTCAGTGAGTGATGGCCATTTTGAATAAACCAGTACAACTTTGGGGGACTGGCATTCAGGGAGCTGGGCCGACGGATAAGCACACCGTCATAGAAATTAGGGGTTCTGGCCAAAATACACTAGAAATCCACTTGAGATGTCACATGCGACCAGAGATGGGCGTCCACAGTTTGCTCAGATAACATGGGTTTAATCAAGCATGGGAACCAGATCTTAAGCGCTCCGCTCAGTAAAGCGCCAGTGCATGTCCTTCTATGTCTTTGAGAAATATCACTAGGAATGAAAGGCACACAGGGACTGGACCCGAGTGAAATCGGTCAACCAGAAAGATAAGGAACGGATCTACGAGACAATGAAATAATCCGGGTTGGATGCTCGAGTCGGATAAGCCCATCGAAAGAGAGGAGTCGGGGTAAATAGCAAGTGTGATGAGGCCACACTAGGTTTGCCACAAAAGGGCAAGCACATTTTGACGATTGAAATGTAAACAAGTGAGCAGTTGTGATATGGCGGCAGTGGGATGAGTGTAAAGAGTAGATAGATAAACAATGACAGATAGAGGAGTGATAGTGTAACCGTTTTCGGCAGAACGCTTGTCAAGGGATTGACTTCACTTGTCTTTTTGACGAGTTCGTAGCTTGGTGCTGCGAATGGTAAAGCTCATTGATGATGCCGACTACGATACTTGAGAATGTACCAAGTCGACTATCTCATGCTGAGAATCATGACAACTACTATGGCAGACGACTTCGGACTAGGTGAGTTCTACATAGTTGCCCTGATAACAAGACCAAGTTGCGACGAGGTCAACCCACTTCTGAAATTGTAAGGCCTCGATATTAAATCTAAGATGGAAAGTAGCATAAATGCAAGTAAAGCTTAGATATAAGAAATAAATGTATGCGACCGCCAAAACTATATCTATTCTTTTATGATCGACAGAATCTTAAACAAGCCTTAGAAATCTCTTTCAGATTAGTAACCGTCTAGGATAATCGATAAAGTAGGCAAGGGCTTAAGGCATCTGCCAAACACTATTCCATCTATGACTTATGAGAATAGATTATGATTAATTATGGCACATTTACTAGGAAAAATAATCAAACTGATTGCACAGTCCTT